TCCTGTCTAAATAAACAAACAAGGCAAAGGAGCTGGAGTACCCACATGGTGACTCACAACTACCTGTAACTCCAGTTCCAGGGGAATCTTATGTCCTCCTCTGGCCTCCAAGGTTACAGGCACACACATGGTATACACACACACACAAACACACACACACAGACACACATGCGAGCAAAAGCACTCATACATATAAAATAAAAATAGATAAAATCTTTTAAAATAAGTAAGGTAGGGCTGGAGAGATGGCTCAGTGCTTAAGAGCACTGGCTGCTCTTCCAGAGGACATGGATTCAATTCCCAGCACCAACATGGTAGCTTTTACCTGTCTGTAACTCCAGTTCTAGGGTTTCTAACAACCTCACACAGACATACATGCATGCAGGCAAAACATCAATGAACATAAAATAAAAAAATAAGGTGGAGAGTGATTGAGGAAGGCACCCAACACCAAACTCTAACATGCATACATACAGGCTCTTTCTCACACACATGTACAAAGATACTATACACATGTACACATACACACAAAAATACACAAAATCATTATAGACTATTGAAAACATATCCTAAAATGATAGAAATCTAAATATGATAAAATTTCTAGAAACATAACCTACCAAAGACTTAAATCAGAGGAAATAAGTAGCCGAAATACATCTATAACAAGTAGCAAGACTGAAGAAATAAACAGTATCTCAACAACAAAAGTCCAGGATGGTAGAGATTCACTGCTGGATTCCACAGGACCTTTAAAGAAGACCTGACACCTGCTCTTAACCTGTTCTATAAGGTAGAAAGGGAAAGAACACTATAAACTCAATCTATAAAGCTATTATTACCCCCATACCAAAACCAGACAAGGACACACAAAGAAACCTCAGACCAAACTCCCAAGTGAACATAGATGGAACAATTCTCAACAAAGAGCCAGCAAAATGGCTCAGCAGGTAAAGGTGCTTTAAAGGGGCTGGAGAGATGGCTCAGCAGTTCAAGAGTAGTAGCTGCTCTCCTAAAGGACCTGGGTTCAAGTCCCAGAACCCACATTACAGCTCATAACCATATGCAACTCCAGTTCCAGGAGATTAGAAGCCCTCTTCTAGCTTCCTCAGGCATAAAGCATGTACCTTATGCACAGACTTATATGCAAGCAAAAAAAAAAAAAATCACACACATAAAAAAATAAAATAAAGTAACTTTAAAAAATTTAAAGCACTTTCCATAGGCCTGAAACCTAAGTTCAATTCCCAGAACCTACAGAAAGGTGGAAAAGAACTGAGTTCACAAAGATGTCCCCTGACCTCAACAAACATATCATGTCAGGCATGTACTTATACATACATGTGTACAATAATAATAAATAAATTTTCAAATTCTCAATAATAGACTTGCAAACTAAATTCAACAACACATTTTAAAGATCATATACCATGACCAAATGGACTTTATTTCTGGAAGGACAGGATGGCTCAACACACACAAATCAATATACAATTTAGCTCATGGTCTCCAGAATTAAAAAACAAAAATCACATAATCAACTCAACAGATCCTCAAAAGACCTTTGCTGAAGTTCAACATCCCTTTATGGTAAGAGCCCTAAAGAAACTAGAACTAGAAGAACTATATCTCAACATAATAAACACTACATCTGAGAACCCAATAGCCAACATTATATTAGTAGGAGTAAATGAAGAGTATTTCCTTGAAATGAACTATGAGATACGAGTTCTCTCTATATACCCTTATTAAAACAGTTCTTAAAGTCTTCAACAGAGCTAAGAAAAGAAGGCAAACTATCCCTGTTTGCAGAAGACATGGTCCTACACTTAAAATTCCCTCCAGACTTCATCAAAAACCTCTTAGAGCTGATAAACCCTTTCAGCAAAGTGACACAATACAAATTAGTACAAAAGCCAGCTGCTTGTCTTTGTACCTGTAACAAAGCCGCTGAGAAAAATCAGAGGGGGAATGTATACAATACCTTCCACTGAACGAGACCCTAAGATCAAGCCTGAAAGAAGTGAAAGAGCTGCAGTGAGAACCACAAGCACTGAGGGGCTGGAGGGCAGAGGATCAAGTTAGGTTCCCAGAACCCACACAGGGCAGTTCACAAACTCCTGGTAACTCCAGCTCCAGGAAATCCAATATCCTCCTCTGGTCTCTGAGGACATGCATATGCACAAACCCACACATAGACAGACACATGCATGTGCATAATTTTTAAAATAAATCTTTAAAAACACTAAAGAAACTGAAGATGGAACTCCAAACTCAGATTCACAGAAAAAGACTGTGAAAATGGCTGCATTAATGAACAAGATCTATAGAATCAATGCAAGCCACACAAAAATTTCAATGGTACTCTAAACAGAATTTGAAAAAAAAAATCCTGAAACTCACATGTAAGTACAAATATTCCTGAACAGACAAAATAATTCTATAAAGTAATGCTGAAGGCATCACAATGCTTGACCTCAATTATATTACAGAGACACAGTAACAAAACCAGCAAAACACAGTCACAAGGACAAATGGAATAGAATAGATGACCCAGAAATAAGCCCATGCATCTAAAGACACCTAAAAACATTGGAGAATAGACAGTCTCTTCAACAAATGGGTCTGGGATAACTAGATCTCCATCAACAGAAGAACACAACTAGATATCTATCTTCTTCTCACCCTTATACCTTTAAGACCTTAATCTCAATCACGCTAATGTAGTAACTAAAACCTTAAAGCTGCCAGAGGAAAACATAAAGAAGCACTTTCAAATAAAGGCGTAAACAAGGTCTTTTAACTATTTTCAGACAGCCCATTATCAATTCTTGATTTTACCTGAGCTATTAGAGGCCCTTTCAGTCCTAGCCTATGCCTATATCTTGAAGTGTTTCCTTATGTTTTCCTCTGGCAGCTGAGATATGCAACCAGCCTAAATGCCAACCAAGAAGTAAACAGACAGCTGGAGAGATTGTTCAGCAGTTAAGAGCACTAGCTGCTTACAGAAGACTCAGTTCTATTCCCAACACCCACACAGCTGCTCACAACTGCCTATAACTTCAACTCTTAAGGATCTAAAGCCCTCTTCTGGACTCAGTAGGCACCATACACACATGGTGCACTTACATACATGCAGGCAAAATACTTATACACATTAAAAAAAACTTTTTAAAGGGATGAATGGAGAAAAATATGGTATATATACACAGTGGATTATTATTCAACCACAGAAAGAAATAAAACTCTGACCTATGTAGGAAAACGGAACTGGGAGATCATCAGAGTAAACAAAATAAGCCAGATCAGAAAGACAAGCACCGCATGTTTTCTTTCATATACAGAGCACACACACACACATTGTGCTGGTTAATTCACTGTCAAGCTGACTGGATTTAGAATCCCTTTGAGACACATCTCCAGGTCTGTCTGTGAAGGAGTTTCCAGGGAAGATTAAATAAGAGAAGACCCACTCTGAAAGTGGGAGCATCATCCCACGGGTTAGTGGTGCTGGACCGAAAAAAGAGAAACTAAAAAGAGGACTACGATTCATTCGTGTCTCTTTGCTTTCCTGACTGAGTGGTAGTATGTGTGGAAAACATCAAAGTAAAAATGGGAGACTATGGGGGAGAAAGGCACCTGGAATGGTGCTTCTTGATTATCAACTTGGAGGCATCACTGGGAAACAAACTTCTGGACACGCCTATGAGGGAGTTTTTTTATAATGTGTTAATTGAGGTGAACAGACTGACCCTAAGTGTGGGTACACCATTCCATGAACTAGATTCTCAGATCAAACAGGAAGAAAGCAAGCTGAGTACCAGTATTTATGTCTCTGCTTGTTGAGTATGGACACAATGTGAGTAACTGCTTCATGTTCCTCCATCCATCTCCTCAATGACATCTGTGAATACAAATAGACCCTTCCTTTCTTAAGTCACTTTTTTCAGGTATGTCATCACTGCAACAAGAAAGGTAATATACCTAAAATTAAGAGGTAGAGTGGAACAAGAGAAGGACAAAATACAACATGTTTATTCTTATGTATGACATATATATGTATGTGTATATGTATATATATACATATATATAATAGCCCAGTTGCTATGCCAGCAACGAGCACCCCAAAATGGAAATTAAGAAAGCATTTCCATTTAAAAGAATCTAAAAGAATAAAATACCTATGAATAAATTTAGCAAGACGGTAAAAGACTTGTATATTAAGGGCTATGCAATATCATTTCAAAAGCAACATTAATAGCTTCCACCTACAGACCCCCTGTGATGTGCAGATATGTGACATGCGTCACTTCCGATCCTCATGAGACTACCAAGAAGATATTAACATCTCCATTTTATAGATTAAAAACCTGAGACTCAGGCATATTAAACAAATTATAACAGTCTCATAGCGATTGCTGACTTGACACTATGATTCCAAAACAAAAAATTCCAAACCACAATGTCTGCCTGCCTTCCTTCTGAAATTAAGCACTCTCTGATCTTCAATTCAAAGCTTCTCATAAAATCTTACAAGATTATGAAATTTTCATGAAGCAAGGAGTATAGTTAGAACTCATTTCAAACGAGAATCCACCATTAGGTAAATCATTTTAGTTTACAGTACTTGCATATAGTTACAATAGTTTACAACCATACAGAAAAATTATAGACTTAGAAAGACTAAAAATAAACCCGAAAGTATGAATCAAATAGCTAAGTTCTGCAAGACTGATGTGAAGTGCAGATAAGCATAATTGTTGCTAAGTCACACTTACGTGAGGGTGGTGACTGGATTGAGAAGGCAAGGAGGAGGAGGAACAGGTAGGACAGTACATTTATATATAGTCATGACCCAGCCCTGAAGAATGACAGAATCCAAAGGAACAAGGGCAGAAACCCATGGCATAATGTAAAAGAGGTCCTTGGCCTAGACAAGGAGTTGAGATTTCTTAAGACAGAGGCACAATAAAAGATTTGACTAAAATATTGGTTTAGGCCCCTGTATTCGGAAGCAATTATGGGCTGCCTGTGTCCTGGTCACAGATCCTGCAGGGAGGGGATGCTGAAAGTCTTACCCTGTATTTGGAAGGTCCGTTCCTGTCCTTGCCAAACCCTAGTGCTTTGGAACACATCCTCCGTCTCATAGCCTCTTGATGTCCTGACAGCTCACTGAGTATCCACTATCACCTCTGGGCAGTGTCCTCAGGGGCTTATGGAAGGGAGGGAGAAGAAGCAGGCTCTGCCTTGAGGGCTTGTACTCTGGCCTAGTTTTCCAAGGATCCCATCAACCCCAGTCACGTCCTCCTGTGGAACAGCCTTTCCTGCCTCCGGAAGCCTGTGTGGTAGAAGGCTACCTGACCCCTCTCCTCCTTGCCTCCCAGGTATTTGTGGACACCAGATGGCCAGGGAGTGGACAGCAAGACCACCACACAAAGTGAAACTGGAGACAGAGTTTTCACTCAGCTTAAAATTTGGCTCAGGCATGGGAGACGCCAACACCTCAGAGGGCTGTGTCCTGTCCCCGTATCCATCTGTCAGTGCCTGGAATGACTCTAGTGACAAGAGATTTTCTATTACATTTCTTGTTAACTTTTCTGCCACTTCCTCAACAGCCTTACAGATTAAAGAAAAATAAAGGTTTGGGGATTACTCTAACATCTCTGACGAAACAGCAGCTATAGGAGGAACTGCAGAGTCACTAGAAACAGGGAGGCCATGACTTGCTCACTTTTGCCCCCAGTAATTCAGTCCTTTCTTAGAAATCACACACAGACTTTATATGCATTTCTTTTTCAAGGCAAATTGTAATCTTCAAAGAATTCCTGTCAATATGTAAATGGTCAAAGCCTTGAGTAGATACTTTTTTCTTTGAAAAAGAAAAGTAATAATAATAATTATTATAGGTGAATAAATAGAAGTAAAACAATGGTACAATCTATGAAAAAAAAATATTTTATCTGAGAAATGACTATTTTATCATAGGAAATGATTATCTGAGCTAAAGAAAATGACTCCTTATAAAGTTAAGTGCAGAGGGGCTCTGGTTTTCTGCTACCACATGACTCAGGCGTTCAAACAGAGCCCACTCCCAAAATTCTTCCTGATACTCACTTCTTTCAGGATAAGGAATACTCCCATTCAGGATTCACTAATTCTTTTTAAGATTTTGAACTGAAATTTAGTGACAGAAAGTATCATGGTCAATTTCTACCTCCATTCATGGCTTAAATATAGATCCTAAACATTTCCCCTAGAAAAATCTTGAGACCCAAGTTGGAGAAGTTGTGAAATTTTCTTTTAACCAATTTCATTCATTTGCTTGTTAATTTTGAGTTACTTATGTCTCACTGTGGAACCCTTGGCTGGCCTCAAACTCACCGATAACTAACTACCTGCTTCTATCTCCTGAGTGTTGGAATAAAATGTGTACACTACCATGTAAAATTTTCTTTTAAAGGGACTGATTTCTGGGCCAGTGAGATGGATCGGCAAGTTAAAGGCTCTTGCCATCAAGTCTGACAACCTAAGTTTGATCCCTGGAACACACACACAGAAGAAGAAAACCTCCACATGAGCCATGGCATAGAAGCGCATGAGCACACACACACTAAATAAAAGAATAAATATATTTTTAAATAATTTATTTCTTTCTCTTCCATGAAAAGCAATACCATTTACACCCAGAATTCAGCTATTTACAAGCTTTATCCATAGAAAGCAAAGCTGAACCAAAAATCCATTACTCTCCACTGACAAAATAATTCACAACTGTCACATCTGTTTTTAAACAAACCCCTCTGCATGTATTTTTTCACTTAATGTACTTGTTACATTAACCCCATACTACAGATAAATAATTTAGAATTAAGAGAGATTAAGTAACTTGCTAAAAGTGCTCTGAAACTAGCAATTGGGAGAAAGGTGCATTTTAAACATTTTGTTTTATTGTTTGTTTTTGAAACAAGATCTTACAAGTGCAGGCTGTATAGATTTCACCCAGGCTTGCCTTGAACTTGTTATGTAGGCAAGGATGACCTTTAAAACCTGATTTTCCTGCCTCCAACTCCCAAGAGATGGGATTACAGGTGTGAGCCACCACACTGGGCAGATTTTAAACTGTTTAACTTCAACTTTCTGCTCTACTACCTCTGTCTAAAAATTATACTGCTTCTTCTGTTTCTCTCAAGCATCTATGAAATAAGAATGATTTTACTTCATACATCAGTAAGATAAGGCTGACAACTGGCCAAGTGGCAAATTAGTAGTGATGGTGACAATAAAACAATCAGACCTTCTGCTGCAAAACCATCTAGAAAGGCAAGCTTTAAAACTTCTTTCAAAAACGCATATACTACCTAATACCAACTATTTGACACACAGCCCTAAATTGAGGTTTTTCAGTTTCCATGTCCACAAGCATATTAAGTATTTCCTTATACCAGGTCCTCTGCTAGCTCCTTTACATATATTACCTCATCTAAACTCACGCATACCACGATTAAGACAGTAGTTAAACATATGCCCAAAGATTATACAAAAACTAAGAACATCAAACAAAGCCTCTTCATGACTACTGAAAATCCTTGGAGAGTAGAATCAGTTCTGTATTGAACCTTTAATAAATGTATACTGAATAAGTGCTAAATAAATACTTAAAATACTTAGTTGATTCATATAGTAATATAATACTTAGAGCCTATACTTGTCCCATTGTTTACCTGCCATTTCCTGAACAACTCTGGTCATGAATTCAGCCATCAGCCAATAATTATAGAATTAATATGTGACTATCGTAAACCACTTACACAATCAAATTCTACTCAACATTAAAGAAAAATGAAATTTGCAGGAAAGTGAATGAAATTGGAAAATATTATACTGAGTGTAGTAAGCCATACCCAGAAAGACAAACACTAGGTGTTCTTGCTCAAAAATGGATCTTGAAGTCAAATTTTTAGATAGTTTTGTTAAGGTGCAGTAGGGGCCAGATATTGAGAAAGGAGACATGGGGCAGGGAGTATTGAAGGGAGTAGGAGAGTAAATCATATTTACATGAAAGTAGAGGAGGAACTCTAGAGAAGAAAAGGGAATAGAGAAATAGAACAAACATGGGGTTGGAGGAGAGGGTCAATCAAAACTAAGAATGCATGAAAAAGTCACACAGGAACCTACTACTTAATAGACTTAAAAAAAGGAAAAAGGAATTTGAACGGAAGTACTCCGCATGGTGGTTAACACTGCTCCCAGAAGCCATAGGTTTTCAACCCAAAAGTCCAGTGTAAGCTGTGGGATACTCCCCTATGACTGGCCATGTAGTCCCAGCAGACTCTCAAAACACTACAGGCTGTTATATTTGCTCTTGGATACCCACCACCATAGTGCTAGAACAATCATACCCAGCTGTAGACTGTTCCTGTTTCAACACTGAACTGCCTGGCAAGATATGCAACATGAATGTTCTGAGGGTAACCAACTGCATTCTGATTGGATTTAAAGAAACTCTACAGGATGGAATACATATATGGCTGGCACCATAGAACTGGTCAAAAGCCTATGGGAGGTCGCATGCACTACTGGGGAATCTAATATTGATGTCTGCCAAGTAGATAAGTATTAAAACTGCTTTCTAAATATATAGGTTTATACCCACAGACTTTTGCAACTCTCAGACTTGATTAGAGAAGCCTCTTGAAGCAGTGGGCAATAGTTAGAGCAGGGGAACATGACAGCTGAGTGCTTAGCCCCAAATGCGCTATCTATGTCACCCCATCCGAGGCCCAGGGAACATCACAGAAGATAGAGTGGAAGGACTATGGGAAGTGAAGGATGGGAAAGAATGCAGTGTGGTGCTGCCTTCTGAATACAAGGTGGTCCTTATGATCACGCAACAGCTGTGACTACCTGGGAGGACCTGAATGAAACAGGAAGCAAGGGAGAAAATGAGAGAGGGAAGGACAGAGACCAAGAGAGGAAAAGGAGGAAGGATAAAGTCTGGAGTAGTGGGAAGGGATGAAAAAGTAGTAAGAGTTGAGTGTAATCAAAGTTCATTGTATGTAAGTATGATATTGTCAAAAAATTTTAATTACAAATTTTAAAACTGTGACTGGGCCTGCTGGCACACATCCTTAACCTCAGCACTCAGGAGGCAGGCAGATCTCTGCGAATTACAGGTCAACCTAGTCTACATAGTGAGTTCCAGACTAGCCAGAGCTACATAGCAGGCCTTGTCTCAAAGAAACTGGAAATAACTTTAATGTCCATCCAAACTATATGATAAAAAGGGCTTGGTTGAACACACCTGTAACCCAAACACTCAAAAGGCTAAGGAAGAAAACTGCAAAAAACAACAAAAACCCATATTATAATCATCTGATGAAATATAATGCAATCTTCACAAATAATGAGGTATAGTACCAGGATAAAAATATTATCCATTTTGTAAAATCAATGATATAGATTACACTATTAGTGTCTTAGGGTTTCTATTGCTGCAATGAAACACCACAACCAAAAGGCAATTTGGGGAGGAAAGGGTTTATTCAGCTTACACTTCCACATCACTGTTAATCACCAAAGGAAGTCAGGACAGGAACTCAAACAGGGCAGGAACCTGGAGGCAGGAGCTGATGCAGAAGCCACAGAGGAGTGCTGCTTCCTGGCTTGCTTCCCATGGCTTGCTCAGCCTGCTTTCTTATAGATCCCAGGACCACCAGCCCAGGGATGGCACCATACACCATGGGCTGAACCCTCCCTTATCAATCCCTAATTTAAAAAAAAAAAAATGGCTTACAGCTGGATCTCACAGAGGCATTTTCTCAACTGAGGCTCCTTCCTCTCTGATGACTCCACCTTGTGTCAAGTTGACACAAAACCAGTCAGTACAACCAGGAAGCAAAAATTTGGAAGAATATACACTAACAGTTTACAGTACTTATCTCCACAAAGAGAAATCTGAAAAGTAACTCCTGAGGATATAAAATTTTATTCACCACCCAGGCACTCCAAGAAGTGCAAAGACAACGCTGAGGCCAGGACAAAGAAAGACAACACCTTGGCCCACCTGGTGTGGGAAGTGAGTAAGTAGGTAGTGGAGTGATGGAAGAGAAAGAGGGGATCAACAGGGAGTGGA